TTTTCTTCCGTACTCACTAATGATTGGCAGGGCTGACAGTGATTGGCAGGGGCTGCCATGGCAACGCCACAACGACACTCAGAAGACCAATAGAAAAGCGAAACAAAATGTTTCAATGCTGCACTCACTGTGGATTTAGGGGAGATATTATGAGGCTGTTGTCATTAGGGCGATTGCTGTTGAATCATTGAATCTTGACTCGGTGGCGGTGCTGGGTTGGTGTGTGTGTGTGTGTGTGTGTGTGTGTGTGCGTGCGTGCGTGTGTGTGTGTGCGCGCGCGCGCGCGCGCGCGTGTGTGTGTGTGTGCGGCTGGGTGTCTCTATGTGGCTGTGTGTGTGTGTGCGTGTGTGGAGGAGGCGTGCGGGGTGCGTGTGCCCCTTTCTCCCGGCTGCCTTCCTTTCTTTCTTTTCTCCTTGATTTCTTTCCCCCTCTCTCAGGTCATCCCATGGTTTTCAGGTCCCCTCTAGAGCTTTATCCCACCCATTTCTTCTTGCCAAACTTCCCCGCCGACCCGCATCCCCCCTCCCTCCTCCTGGCCAGCAGCGGCAGCGGCAGCAGCGGCAGCGGCAGCACGGGCTGCAGCCCCGGTGGCGGTGGAGGCGGCGGCGGCTCCAGGGGACCCCAAGAAGAGTTGTCCATGTTTCAGCTGCCCACCCTCAACTTCTCCCCGGAGCAAGTGGCCAGTGTCTGCGAGACGCTGGAGGAGACCGGAGACATAGAGAGACTGGGCAGGTTCCTCTGGTCGCTGCCCGTGGCCCCGGGGGCATGCGAGGCCATCAACAAGCACGAGTCCATCCTGCGCGCCCGGGCCGTGGTGGCTTTCCACACGGGCAACTTCCGCGACCTCTACCACATCTTGGAGAACCACAAATTCACCAAGGAGTCCCATGGCAAGTTGCAGGCCATGTGGCTCGAGGCGCACTACCAGGAGGCCGAGAAGCTGCGGGGGCGCCCGCTCGGCCCGGTTGATAAATACAGGGTGAGGAAGAAGTTCCCGCTGCCCCGGACCATTTGGGACGGCGAGCAGAAGACGCACTGCTTCAAGGAGCGGACTCGCAGCCTCCTGCGGGAGTGGTACCTGCAGGACCCTTACCCCAACCCCAGCAAGAAAAGGGAACTGGCGCAGGCCACCGGCCTCACCCCCACGCAGGTCGGCAACTGGTTCAAGAACCGGCGGCAGCGAGACAGGGCGGCCGCGGCCAAGAACAGGTCAGTGCCCGCAGCTATCCCGCGGGGGGAGGGGGTGCCCCTTGTGTTTGCTCTCCGGCCCCCCAGCACGCCGGCAGGGTCCCGGGGAAGGAGCCGCTCGCCGGCGGAGGTGCGGGGAGCCGGCCGAGCCCCCTGCCCCTGCGACGCCTCTGCCCTGTAGAGGGCACCGCCAAGCCCCCCATCACCCCCCGCGGCTTTATTTGAGAATGCCAAATGCAGCGGGCACCCGCGCTTCTCTGCCCGCTCCGCCTAGGAAGAGTTGCGGCGAGCAAAAAGGAGAATTTTCCTCCAAGCCCTTCTCCTATTGTTCGTCCGACCCATATCTATCTATCTATACACCTTTGAATTTTTTATTTATTTTTTTAAAATGTAAACACCGTCTTTTTCTCCGGAGGAAAATAAGGGGAAGGAGCGGGGAGAGAAAACCCCACTCCGCTCGTATTTCTCTTTGTAAACGCACCGGCTCCGCGTTTGCGCGCGCGCGCGTGCGTGTGTGCGCGTGTGTGTGCACAGACTCTCCCCGCATATTTATTTGCCTACTTGTGCGTTTTTTATTGTGTCGTCATGAAAGCAAAACCACCCGAGGAGCTGCTCCCCACAGCTCCGAGGGCTTGCTTGCAAGGTAAAGTTGAACGAGCTGGGCCAGCCGATGTATTTATGATTTTTTTGTTCTTAATTAGGAAGTGTTGGGAACAAAACTTCCTCTTCTTACTTCTGCTGTCGCCCAGCTTCTTTTTCATGGTGACTCCTGGGGCGAAATTATAGGGGGGGAAATATAATAAATCCAGAGAAAAGGGAAAAAAAGTTGGTGGGGGGGGGAGGAAGAGAGAGAGAAAAGAAAAGCACAAGCTCGCAGGGTTTGACGATTTAATTTCCATCAAATGGAAGGCAGATCCGCGGAGTCCTGTAAATAGACAGAAGTTGGGTGCGAATGCTTTTGTTGAGTGCTGACAGCAGCATGAATACCCCGGGAAGGGAAATGGGGGAAAATAATCAAACGCTCCCACATGAAACAACTGCTAAATGGTCGGAAACGACCAGGCTGTGTCCAGCTCGGCAAGTACCGAGATGGAAAAGCCCTTGGTGGGAATCCGTGGGCTGCGGAGTGCATTTCCAAGAGCCCTGGGAGCTGCTCGTCGCTGTGCTTTGTGAAGGGCTGCTCAGCCCAGGACTTCCCAGTCCTCTCCCTTCCACTTGAATTCCACTTTCTCTGCCTCCCGACCCCGCTCCCCCAGCACTGGGGACAACTGCAGATTTTCTGGACGCCTTTACAGCGACAAAAACCTCTCCGCTTGGCGAGATGTGTTTGCTGGGTTTTAAAACCGAAACCGTCGTCAATTAAAGCCGAGGGAGAAAAAAAATCGATGCATTTTAGACCCCTGTATTTTTTTTCAATATCGCAAATTTGGGGGATATATTGATCCTCTCTTCCCCTTTCTTGGTACGTCTTTTTTAAAAAAAATATTACTTATATATTGATTAAACCAGAGAAGCCGAGATCATTTGCAATTCTCTTCTGCTGCTCTTTACTCCATGTAGCTGTGGCTGTTCCAGGCACACAGAAATATTGCTTTACTTTAGGGCAGGTTCCCAGTCCTCTGGGCGCAACGTGGGCAGGAAAAAAGAGAAATGCACATTGTAAAAAAATAAAATAAAAATAATGATAATAAAACCCCACGGGGGCAGCAAATGCGTGTCTGCTCCCTCTCCTTCGGTAAAATGGTGCTGGCACTACTGAGAGGAGTGCTTTGGTGTGAGCGGATGGCAAGTGGGCTTTCTCGGATGTGGTTTGCAACGCTTGCAAGGGGCTGCGTACAGCTGCAATGACAGGAGCAGTGCAGTGCAGGGCCCGCAGCTTTCTCTAAACAAGGCTGAGAGAGATTGGACCCTGCCGGCCTGCATGTATATGCGTGCGGGCTCAGCCTTTGCAGACAGCGGGGTGGGGGTCCCAGGAGGAGCCCGCCGGCCGGTGCAGGGAAGGCAGCCTGGGTGGGTGGGTTGGGGGGGAGGGCAGCTCACAGCGAGAGGCCGCTTGGTTGCTGAGTGTGTGTTTGTGTGCGTGCGGGTGCGGGCTGGGAGAAGGGGCAGCCGGCGGCTGGCTCTGGGGCTGTTTCTCAGGAGCCCTGTGCTGTTGTTTTGTCTCCCGGCGCGCTGCAGGCTCCAGCACCAGGCCATAGGACAGAGCGGCATGCGGTCGCTGGCCGAGCCCGGCTGCCCCACGCACAGCTCGGCCGAGTCCCCGTCCACGGCGGCCAGCCCCACCACCAGCGTCTCCAGCTTGACAGAAAGAGCCGAGACAGGCACGTCCATCCTCTCGGTAACCTCCAGCGACTCGGAATGTGATGTATGATAGAGGCAAGCCTCCCGGCCAAGCGACCAAGCTACCCCGTCCCCCACCCAAAGCCAACCAAGCCAAACCAAACCCAGCCCTAGCATCAGGACACACACGCACGCACACACGCACACCGCCCGAGCAGAGCGAGGCAGCAGCCAGAGACAGGGACCAGAGCCGAGACCCTACCGCCGCCGCCACCGCCGAGAGATGGAGCTCCCACTTGGACAGGCAGTCACACACGCCGGTGCTGCAGCGGGGGGGGGGATGATAATCATGATATTAACAACAGCAGCAGCAGCAACAACAAAAAAACACACCACAACAAAAAAAAAGTGACAATTGTATTATTTTTAGGACGAGCACGGTTTTCTCCTTTGCGCTTTTCCATGGACGCATTTCACCCACTTGCATGATGATGATGATGATGATTAAATTTGTATCTGGGAAAAAAATATTCTCTATAGTAAAGAAAAGCAACACAAAACAACAACAACAACAACAAAAACGCCGATCGAATTTGTACAAAAAAAAATTAAAAATAATTAAAAAGGAACTCCTTGAAGAGGGAAATAACAAATGTTTATCGCCTTTTTGTTGGTTCTCTTTTTCTCTCGCTCTCTCTCTCTCTCCCTTTCTTCTTATCTCTCTCTTTCTCTGTTTTTTTTTAAGTCCAAGTGATGGTCCCGCCAAGATGCAATCTTCTGTTTTTTTGTTCAGCAGACAATCATTTTATTCGTAAGCACCTTTTTTCTACACTTCTGTCACTGCCTCTGTGGGTACTGGTTATAAATGTGGAAAAAGAATAGTTATGACTGTAACAGATTTTTATTTTTATTTCAAAATTTTATATGAATTATGTATATCTTAATGATGCGGTCATTTTCCCAGTTTGTAATATATGTGTAGAAATGCCTGTATATGATATTTACTCTGCTCTTTCTTTTTTCCTCTCTCTTGCTCTCTGTTTTCTGCCCTCCCACCCTCTCTCTCTCTCTCTCTCTCTCTCTCTCTCTCTCTCCTTTTTATTTTCCTAGACTTTGTGTTCCTTGCACAAACTTAGCTGTCAAGAGCTGACGTGCTAGGTTTTAAAAAGGGACCTCAGCGATAGAAGAAAAGCTTAGGGTGCAACTGTAGTTATCTTATGCAAAAGCTATTTTGAGTATTTCCTAGCAGCTTTGGGGTCTCTTCTTAAACTCCACGTAGGACGCTTATACTATTGTTTCCTTAACTGCGTGTTTATCTATATGTACAAACTTTCTAAATCAAATACAGTATTCCATTTTCTTATCTATTCAGCGATGTTGGTGTTTTTGTCTATTGCAAAATATATCCATCTCTGTATATATTGCCCCCTACATCCTTACTGAGACATGATTTTTAAGCCGTGCTTGGTTAGGTGAGTCAGTCCGGATTATTCACGTTTCTCTCTGAGGCTGCCTTGGCAGCGCACACCAGTGGAAGCTGTCTTTCCTTGTGTATATAGAGCAGCTAGGTGGGACTGGGTTTTTTGCTGCTGTTGCTTTATTTTCGTTTTTCCTTTCCGTGTGTTTGAAGTGCAGTGCTGTGCTTGTCGAGAGAAAATGGAGAATTAGGGTTTGGGGGATTTTTTTTTTTTTTAAGGAGAAAAATTGATAAAATTAACTTTGCATTTAAAGTCTGCCTCGGTGCGAGGGAGGCGGCTGTGAGGGGGAAGGAAAAGAAAACATCACTTTTGTCTGGGCAAACTTTGCCCCCTTGAGTTGATCTAACCACTGCTCCGAATGGGTTTCCAGGACACAATGGTGTCCTTTCAAATCCTGCCTTCGCCCCGCATTTTTTTAAACCGGGAGCCTAAATCATTACTGTGCCCATCTGTTTAGATTAGGAGGTTTCTCCAGAGAGCGTTTAAGACATTTCTGTGTTTGTTTGTAGCTTTAAATGAAAACAAAAACATAAACTACTCTCCCTAATCAGGTTACAGCTCCTCCCCTTGAATCCTAAGTATATTGTAATGTGCTGAAAGAAGCCTTTATTTGCATGACTAACAGTATTTCAGCGTCACCTTTTGCATTAAAGTTTTGCTTTGCCCTAGGCAGATTATTCAACCGTGAAGTAACAAGAGGTGAATTCTAAACTTGTTTTTACTTGAAAATACAATTTTGAAACTTATTAGGATTAGGGTGAAACGTGCCTGGAATTTCTTGACCATTTCACAACTAATTTTGACTTCCGATTTGCCTTTGTGTTCCCTGCCCACCCCCACCCCCCTCCAAGGTAGTTTAATGGCAAGCTCCTGACATCTATGAAAAATACTACAGGCATTTACAAAAGGAAGTTATATGGGCAGAAGAAAAACCCACCTAATATTTGAAGTTCAGTCCAAAGAGAATTAGCGATGCTTTTTCGAAAGAAACTGAAGCGTACATATATTGTGTCTACGTTTCATAGCCTTGGGAGCATTCCCTGTGTATCTGCGCTGCTTCCTTTCAGTCTAAGCAGGTCCTGGGAACGTGTTTACTATCGGGGCGATTAGGAAAGACTGCCTAGATGCTTTAAATGCTGGAGTGTTTGAGCAATAGTGAATCTTGAAGACCTGTGTGCTCAAGTGAGTCGCTACATGGAGAGCAAACCTGAAGGTGTGAGAGCTCTGTGCTTGTGGATTTTTTTTTTTTTGGATTACATTTATTAAGTTGTCCTTCTCTTGTCCCTGGTTACCTGGAAGCTCTCCAAGCCCGATGCGGTTGCTCTGCTGCTCTGTTAGCACACACCTTGCTAGACAAGAAAGCGCTTAACCGCCCCCCCTCCCATTAGTAGTGAAATGCAGTGAATTTGCTCGCATAGATTAAAATCCCTACGGTACCCCCTCATTTTAGAAATATCTCCAGCTCTCTGACAGAGTAGTTTCTTGCCAAAGAAAAATGAGAAATTTAATTCTTAAATGAATACCACGCATAGCCTGCCACAGGCTTTCCCACTTTTATTAAAATTCAATTTTATCTTTGAATGAAGGCACAACCTTTAGATATTCAGTTATGTGCAAGGCAAGCCTGGTGTTCTCTTGATGTTATGTGTAGCTTGTATCTAACACGCTGTGTGCTATTTTCCAGCGCAAAATAATATGGGTAAGTTCCTTTTGTAGCATAGGAGAATTTTTTTTAAAAAATAACCTGAAGTATGCAACACCAGCGTTGGTTTGGAGAGTGAAAAGATGCCTCAGATTGCATCGCTTGGGGGATAAACCTATATTATTAGTCTTTCTCCTCCCCCACGCAGATTTAAAGAACATGAAAAAAATGCTAACAGGGAGCAAAATACTCTCAAATTAGCTGCACCCTCGCATGTATCTGACATTGGGAATTGTTCTCTTATTTCTATTTATTTCGTCATCCCTAAAATGGGTTAGGAAGGAGCAGACGCCTCTGCAGAGACAATCACAGCACCTAGGAGTCACTCCAGATTATTACCAGGGCAATTGTCTACATTATTTATGGATTTTAAAAAGTGCAATATTTTTACTTCTCTTTTTGATGAGCATCATTATGACTCTGCTATTTGTAACAGAATTAAATACCTGAAAAGATTCGGAGATGTGAAAGTTTCTTTTTCCTCATTCTAGAGTCTAGCATCTGCGTTTCTAGGGCGTCAACTCACAGCAACATCCTGCCTAGATCTGGCGAGCTGTTCTGGGTTTAACTTTGTATTTTCACGCTCAACACAATAGCAGTACTGGATGTCACTTGTGTTGGTGCGAAACCACCCAGAGACCGTCTGATCCAGGGCTATTTTCACATCTGTTTACGAAACACATAATGCCTTGTTCCTAACTTGTCTTAGTCACCAGTTTGCTTCCGGAGAATATCTGAGTATGATTTTTAATTTCTCTTTTCTTCCTCCCCCCACCTTCCGCCCTTTTAATTTTTTTTTTTAATTTCAGAAAGTCACTACGTTTTGGAAAACAAAAACGTTCGGCTTCTCCTGTAAGACAGACTGACTCTTGGTCATTTGGAAGGAGGCCAGAGAGGCAGGCCCAAATATACACATTTTGAACATGTTTTTCTCCAGGGTTTCTTTCAGGCCACTGTGAATTTATGTGGTGTGGCTGATGTGTGCATCGTGTGTGTGTGTGCGCGCGCGCGCACGCGTGCATCTGTGTGTGTGTTATTGTTTTCTGGTCTCTGTTCTGGTGCCTGTGTTTGATGTATAATATATGGGTCCACGAATAACAGATCAGGCATTGGTGTTTATGTGTGCTCTATGTGGAACTGCTACAACTAATGATATTCTGTTTAGAAGCTGGCCTCCATAATAGATAACCGATGCTGTTCCAGGATTTGCATGAGAAACCTGAATGGCTGATTGAGGTGTAAATCTATGAAAATCTGCATTTAAGCCTTCTCGCCCACTAAACCCATCTGCCCTGGGAAGATAGGGCCTATCGAAAGCGCCAAACTGGGGTCTTACCTCTTTCCTTCCTCTGGCCGATCATTATCGACAAGCCCTCTCCAGTATTAGTTTATTATCCGTGACAAGCTTGACTGTTGATTAAGATGAAATTACTCGGAAGCTGAAGTGCATTTGATCAATATTTAAGCGAAAGCCACAGGACAGGAGACAGCTGGCCGGGAACTCGCAGCGCACCGGGCCCTGGGAGGAACTTTCCATGCGTGACTCTGCCGTGGGAGACAGGCCGGAGCCCTGCCCCCGCGGGGACCGCAGCCACGGGGGGATGGTGTGTGCCCGGGGACAACTGTGTGTGCCTGCCCTCAGCTGCCCGGCCTCCCGGCTCGGCGCGGCCAGGGCACGGGCGAGGAAACACAGCGGCGCGAGACAAAAGCTGGGCTGGGGCTCGGGACATCCACGCGTGACTCCTGCGGCCAGGCGCAGAGCTCCCCCCTGCCCGGGGGCTCCTCCAGTCGGGCGCTTAATGCGGAATAGCGCGGGCGGCCTCATTGCAGGGCTCCCACTGTGTGTGTGTGTGTGTGCAACGCCATTGTCTGAGAGCCCAGGGAAAGTCACCTGAAAACCCTCTCTCTGTTTTAGCTCCCAGATGTCCGCCCGGGCCCTTCCGCCTGGTCCTTTGTGTGCACGCCATCGCCCCGTCTCCTTCCCCAGCCAGGGCTGGCGGGGGTGGGATCCGATAATCTATAGCTCCCTCTCCCTGATCAATTACAGCCGGCTTTTAGAGGGAGCGGAGCCTGCCTGCCGGTTGCCCTTAATCTTTAGCATACCCCGATGAGGTTATAGCCCCGGCCCAACGTGAAAAGAACTGTGGACGTTGGTGCCCTGGCACTGCTCTGATTTCCTCGGTTAGCTGAGCACAACTTTCTATTCGTGTTTATTCATGCAGCTTCTTATTGAGCTCCACGTCGCACTGGCCTGGATTCC